AGGGACGAGGGAACAGCGGCGTAATGAGCAAAAACCTTTTTTTGTGGGGGGGGGGGGAGAAAAAAATCCACATCACCATCACTCGTACATGTTACGCAGGCACTGTGGGGGGGGGGGGGGCTAAAGTATTTACGATCAAGTAGAGCAAAGCAAAGTGGAGCGTAAATTGGCGTGGGGTCCAGGGGCAAAGCCCCGGCGGGTGTCAAGGGGCGATGCCCCATGAAGCTCAGTGGTTTTAAGCATTTATTGAGGTCAGATGAGCATATTTTGAATCCTTATTTGTGACACTGGCATGCAGGTCACTAATTGGAATGGGGTCCGGGGGGCAAAGCCCCCGGAAGCTCAGGAGTTTAAGGCATTTAATTACGGTCAGATGAGCAACCAGTGGCCCCCCTTCGGTCCCCTGGTGGGGTCCAGGGGGCAGAGCCCCCGAAGCCCAGGGAAAAATCATGCCATTTCAGCAACATTATAAATAAACCACGTTTAAATTTCATTTAGGGGGAACTGTCCCCAAAGCCCCCCCCCCCCCACCCATCAGTACGCAAGTGCGAGTGAGCAATAGTGAATGAGAGGGGTAAAGGTGACGGAAGTGACTACCCCCTCACAGGTTTTTGAAGTTTTGTTGTATTACAAAATTACAGTCCTTAGCAAAACTACAGTATAAAAACAAGCAATAAACGATTTTCACACTTCAATTTTTTGGAATTTTTTGAACTTTTTGAAGGATATTATGCGAGGTACCGTAGCTACCAAGTGAGAAGATTTTTGCAATTTTATTCGTCTAAACGCTGCACTCTTGGGCCCTCCAGAGCCTAAAAGTGTGTTGCAGTCTTTAGTTAGTATTTGCTATACATTTTTTGCACTTTTTCAAATTTTGATGGGGGGATGATCCTCCCCCCTTCAAAATTTGAGGGGGGACATGTTTACCCCGTCCCCCCCCAGGATAGCCGCCCCTGCATTAGTCTCTCTCTCTCTCTCTCTTCATGGTATATATCTGACGTTTCAACTTTTTTCTCCTACTTCTTTTTGTTCACTTCTGTCTACAAAACGTTGGTTGTTTTGTGTCGTAATTACTGCATGTGAGCACGCACTCTTTCCGTCAGAGTGTCTGTGTGTCTCTACCCCCTTCTTCTTCTTTTCTTCTTTCTCTCTCTCTCTCTCTCTCTCTCTCTCTCTCTCTCTCTCTCTCTCATTCCCTCCCCCTTTTCTTCGTTTTGACCTGTTCTCCGATATGTATTTCTCTCTCTACCTCTCTCTTTCTCTCCCCCTCTCTCTCATTTTTGTTCAGATTCCCCATGCAGTTATCTCTTTCACTTATTATCGCCTGAACTCAGATGATTTTATTCCTCTTCAAAGAATACCTTTCACCACCTATCTAGCTTACCAATACAACCAGGCCCTGTATAAAAAAATGTTGCGATTGATTCAAATCAATCGCAAATTAAACATTTATCGCAACCGTGTACTTCAAAGATAGGAGTTGCGATTAATTTCAAGTTGCGATTGATTTGAATCAATCGCAACATTTTTTGATACAGGGCCTGGTTGTATTGGTAAGCTAGATAGGTGGTGAAAGGTATTCTTTGAAGAGGAATAAAATCATCTGAGTTCAGGTGATAATAAGTTGCGATTGATTTCACGTTGCGATTGATTTCAAGTTGCGATTGATTTCACGTTGCGATTGATTTCAAGTTGCGATCAATCAGAAGCAATCACAAGTCTTTAAAAGACGGGGCCCTGCCTATCTCTATAAATCTACTCTTGAATCGTTGGAAATAGTTTGTATCAAAAGCATTTATCAATATATGCACATACTGTATGTTATATTAAATACGAATCGTGTGACATGTAACTTTAGTCACCGTCAACTGCAAGTTTTACAAGCTTAACATTTTCTTCAAAAAGCACAACACTAATATATAAAGCCATACAATATAATGTTTTATCACGAAGAATATTCAAGAAGATTTGTTTAAAAGTTTTTGTTTCGTAATATTTTGTTATTCAATCACTTCATAAGTGGGGGGGGGGGGGGGGGGGGTGGCCTATTGAGGTTGAATTGTTTAATACATTGTATACTGCTCGAGAAATGACTTGGTTTGAGTCGTATCTTGGTCAATTACACTAGTTCATGCACCCAAAAGAATATTTTCACTACTTTTATGCAACTACGAATAATAACTTAAACCTCATTTAAAATGGAATTTGCAAAGTGATTGTCGAGCCAAATGTATTGTAATTCTTTTTAATGCTTTCTACACGAAAACAGCTTATAAAAGTGAATGGTTCAATAAATATGACATTTTGTATTTCGTTGTGAAGATTCATGCAGAAACGAAAAAATATTAATCTTGAACAGGAAATTCTTACTGCAATTAAAAAATGCTATTGCCCATTTCATTACAGTTGATTCGTTTAAAGTAAGATATATTCAGTAACATCTTTAAATATCAAACAAGCGTACAGAGTTAAAGTGAAATATAAAGTCAGCCTCTTTTTTCTTCTTCTTCCAGTTAAGTGCCGCTTCATGGTGATGAAGATAATCGCACTGGTTTTGTGTGTATATGTGGAGACTTTCACATGTCCTGTCATTCCACATTTTAACTTGTTGTTCTTGTTGTGCAGGTGCATATATACATGTGTAAGTAAAAAAAAAAAAAAAAAAAAACATTCCCAGTCTTGTAGACATTACATCTGCATCCCACTCAAGAAGACCTTGAAGGCCTCAAGAGAGTGGTATTGGGCTGGGTCCTGTGGAAGGTTGTTCCAGTCCTTGCAGGTTCTTGGGAAGAAGGAAGAAGCATAGGTCTGACTACTGCAGTTGAATGTCCTAAAACGAGATCCATGTCCTCTTGTTATTGATGTCAGTTCAGTGAGAAAGGACTGCCAGGTAACGTCGACAAGGTTGAAGCGGATGCGATACAGCATGGCAAGGCGGCTGTGAAGGCGTCTGGTGAGTAGCAATGGCCAATTCAGGTTTTCAAGCATAGCCGTTACACTGGAGGTTTGATTAAAGTCACCGGTGACGTAGCGAGCACACCTTCGTTGGACCATTTCAATCTTGTTGACATTCCGCTGTGTGTGTAGTTCCCATGCTGTTGCAGCATATTCCACCACTGGTCGGACGTATGTAAAGTATGTGGCCTGCTTGATCCGCCGTCTACAGTGTTTAAAGTTCCGTCGCAAGAAGCCTGTCACAGAATTAGCCTTCTTGACTGTAGTATCAACATGACTATTGAAGTTGAGCTTCTGATCGATGTTGATTCCAAGATACTTGGCGGAACTCACTAATTCCAGGTCGTGCCCGTGGATGTTATACAGGCCTAGGATTTGTTTCCTCTTGTTGGTGACTCTCAGAGTCTGGCACTTGGACGGGTGGAATTCCATCCGCCACTTTCTCTCCCATTCCTGCAGCCTGTCAAGATCTTCCTGAAGATTTGTACAATCTTGGACTGATCTGATGCGTCTATATAGCATGCAGTCATCAGCGAAGAGGCGTATGGTTGAGTGCTTGACACTGTCTGGTAGGTCATTGATGTATATGAGGAAAAGCAGCGGGCCGAGAGCACTACCTTGGGGCACTCCAGATGTAATCTTGGCCTCGTGACTACGCTGGCCCTCCAGTGTGACTTGTTGAGTGCGGCCACTAAGGAAGCTTTCGATCCATTTAAGAGTAGTGCCACGTATACCATAATAGTCAGCTTTGAGGAGGAGTCGTCGGTGAGAGACTTTGTCAAACGCTTTGGCAAAGTCTAACAAGACGCAGTCTATCTGCTCTCTATCATCCAGTCCTTTGGCAAGGTCATTGATGGCAAGGATGAGTTGTGTTTCACATGATCTTCGCTTCCTAAAACCATGTTGTGAGTCTGACAACAGGTTGTGATTGATCAGGTGATGTATGACAGCACAATGCACTATGTGTTCACATAGTTTTGATAAGATTGCTGTCAGTGAGATTGGTCTGTAGTTTGCTGGAGATGACTTACACCCTTTCTTGTGGATAGGAACAACATATGCTTTCTTCCAGTAAGAAGGAATTTCGCCTTGAAGTAGGGAGGCCTCAAAAAGCAAACTAATGGCAGGTGAAATCTGATCAGCTGTCACCTTGAGGAGTCTAGCAGAGATGCCGTCTGGCCCAGTAGCTTTATGTGGCTTCAGTTTCTTCAACAATTTCGCTACACCTGCTCGGCTAACTGATGTATCATCCATGGCTGGATAAGGACTGGGTCCCAGGTCTGGTACAGCTGTGTCATCATCATCAGTGGTGAACACCGAGGCAAACTGCCTGTTCAGGATACTGGCTTTCTGCTTCGGGTCACAGTGAAGTATGTTGCCTTCCTTCAATGGTGCTACTCCCATGTGATCACAGCGCATGGTTCTCACAAGGGCTCCAAGGCGCATGGTTCTCACAAGGGCTCCAAGACGCTTGTTGCAGATATGATTATGATTACATGTGCGTTAGCAAATTAGAATACTTTCATTGCATAATCTAAGAGTTCTAAAATGTATGTAAAATGGAGTAATGATGCTGACTGCGTGTTTTTAATATAATTGCTTCAGGATCGTAAAGCGCAATAAAACCCTGTTCTATTTGTCAGATTAACGAATCTCCTGGATAATAAATACTATTTCATATTAGGAATTCCGGACCTTTAGACAAAGTTGCCTTCGAAAAAATGACAGTTTGGACTAGATAATGATAACAATGATTGTAATTTGATTTATATAAAGCATCAGATATTGTAAATAGTGAAGCTTCAAGTTATTTCAGTTCGGAGTAATGGACCCTTGATAAAAAATTGTTCTTGTTCAGCATGTACTTAAAAACCTTCTGGCTCTTCGGCATAAAAAGTCATGTTAACATGGTTTATGCCTATATACATCAAATCAATAAAGGTTTTATTCAAACATGTATCGCAGCGAGTGGCTGAATTGCACATGTGTATACATATTTTGTTTTAAATTTAACAAAATAAATCTAAATGTATCGCATGAAATATAATTTACACTTTAGCATAAGACAGCTTAAAATTGATTAAATCGAATCATACACTAAAAATAACAGCGGACATTATATAACACATCCTTTAAAATGTCACAAGAATTCGGCTTGATTGCCCTAAAATGAGTTACAGCATCCCAAACTTAAAAAACGTATATCCTATCAGTAAAAATGTCATTATTAAAAAATTGCATTTCTGATTTTTACATTCATGAGTATAAAACAGTATAAATAAATATTTAAAAAAGGGGGAGGGGCGGTTAACTATTCAACAAGCAAGATCATGGTCCACAATGAACGTACATGTATGTTTGTATTGTATAGAGGCACCGACGGGAGATAAATTAATGTCATGTCTTATTTTATATACATTGTATATGACAAAACGTGAATGAATGAATTGAATTTCAGCATTGTACTTTTGTTCTGCATATTGCATTAATGCAAAACTTTTAAAACTTTGAATAGCCCAAGGAACTGTATGACCATGATAACGCTTTTAAGATAAGTCTACATTTCAGAAACAATCCTTCGACGACACAGCATTGTCACAGCCGGCAAAGATATTTCGAAGCCGGCGATGCAGCTATTCAGCTATATTTCGATCTCAAGGATAACAAGATGTTGTCGATGCCGTCCATGAAGCCATTCACCGATGACCGATGTCGGTGACGTCCGGTTGTCCGACATCATCCACTGAGTGATATTGTTCATTATCTGTGAAAACAATCTGATGTCAATTTTCACCGTCGTCGTCGTTCTCCTCGAAGAGGAGGAGATCATGCGATGTCCATGTCCGAAAGTTTTATCCGAAATTATTTGATGTACATGACGTCAGCACTGGTACTGGAGGTGGAGCATCGGGGAGGGTAGGTGACGTCATGATGGCGATGGATTACTAGTATCTGAAGTGTCATGGGCGTGGTCCTGATGGGGGTTATGGGCGGGGCTTTGGGCGAGGATTTGGGCGGGGTTAGGGATGGGGTCGGTGACCACTACGACCCCACTATCTTGTCTCGATGCACCACGAATCCGTCTTCCTGTACATGGGGGAAAAAAAGAAAATTTTGATTTATTAGCTGATACTCACTCTGTTCACTTTACTAATTATAAGCAAATCTGAAGTTGACTCTAAAGTGATGTAAACGTCGAACATATCACATTGTATACAATTATTAAAATGGCATACGATTGGACCGGGCCTGGCCACCTTGGAGGCAAGATCGGGGCCCACATTTGGGGTATGATGGCATGTTTGGGGCAAGATAGGACACACAGATATGAATATGTTCCCATCACTTTTAGTCATGTATTATGGTGTATAGAAAAATACGATTGTTGATAAGCGCCGGTATCCGTTTGAGCTTGCATGGCTCAGGCGTTCGTGGTGCTTGCTCTACAATATAATCCATTTAAACATTAAACATTTAAAATACTATTTATACTCTTTATATACAGGTACGCTGCTCGTGGTAAATGCACTCAAACCAATATGAAATTATATATCTTTCCATCTAGAAGTACAATGGGGAGCTGCGGAGCAAGAACAATTTGCACGGTCTGCAAATGATTTGACCTCTTTACTAAATGCACAGGATATCCCTTTAAAAGAAAACATTTCTAAGAAGAATAAATCGGAAATGCAGGATTGTATTCACGAATTATTTCAGAAGAAAAGAGTTCAAAACGTTTAACCAGGCTAAAGCAGAAGAGACAACAAGGGGGAGTAGAAGGGGGAAGAAAAGGAGGAGAAGACGAAGGAGGAGAATGGAGGAGGAGGAGGAGGTGGAGGAGAAGAAAAAGGCGGAGGAGGAGAAGAAGGTGAGAATAAAAAGGAGATGATCATGACTATGTGATGAATATGATGATGAAGATGATGATGGTGTTGATGTTGATGAAAAAGAAGAAAAAAGAGGCAGAAGAAAAAGAGAAAGAAGGAGTGAAGATGATAATTATGAAGAAGAAGAAGACACGTTGAGAAATGGAGGGAGAATGGATAAGGTATAAACTGAAAATAAAATCTTAAAAAGGAAGGATTGAAATCAAGCAGATGATAACTATTAAAAAAGATCAGTAAATAAACATAAGCAAAAGAAACTTGAGAAGGAAATACTGAAACTGAAAGTAAAGTTAAGCGAGGTAAGCAGGAAGTAATCAATAATTTCCTTTTCAAAACAAATTTCTTTTGCTTTTGTTTATTTACCGATCTTTTCATAAAACCACCCTTTGGTATCTTTCCAAAAGATCTATGAAAACCAGAAGTACGCCGAAAAAATGATCACACTTTTTTTATAAACACTTATAATGCTTACGCATGCGATATATTGATGGTTTATAAGAGCAATAAGAATCGGAAAGCCCCCAATTTATATTTTGTAGGATATCCTTGTTGAATGACGTTATGAGCATGATTTTGCAAGGGATAAAAGGGCAGAAGGGGTATGGTCACCGTGGTCACGACGTAAAATATGAGAAATCTCCTTACATTTTTCTTTCTTTCTTTCTTTATATCTTTCTTTCTTAACTTGCTTCATATCTTTCGTTTGTTCCCTTGTCATGTATCATTCGGGTGGATGAGACATCCCTGCATACAGAATCCCGGAGCCACCCCTGGATTAGCCTTTTGACAAGGCCTCGTTGACTCTGGCTAAGCGGCTGAGATGAGTCTAGATACCCGGAGTGAACGCGCGACCGAATGACACAGGTCTGGACAATTCGCACTGGCGTTCATTCAGGTTTTTGCGATTAGTCTCTTTTTAGTCGCTCGGCGTCTATCAGGCATGTGGCCTTGTTTAAAGGCTACCCCTGGATGTATATTTTACTTTTTTAATGGAAACATCCATTTTTTCTTCAGTTTCCCTTTTCTTTTCGCTTGTCATACACTTGGGAATTGGACCCCCCCCCCCTTGTACAGGATCCTGCATCCGCCCTGTCTTCTCCTTAAGTGTTAAAACTATGATCTGTTAAGTTGTTGCGAATTTAATTGAGTTGAATAACGAATATGGACCTACCATTTCCACTCAGATTTGAAGGCTCTGATAATGCGGGTGGCGCACAACATTTACGGCAGCACACGCACCTCATGCAGAGGTCCTTGAGTGCGTCTCGACTCTGCTGCTTCATGAACACGAAGACGAACGGGTCAACGACATGGTTGCTGACGAGGAGGACGACGACCAGGAGAAGATACCAGTTGGGCTGGTTGACGTCGAAAGCTTTGAGAAGACGTTGGACCTGTAACGATAGATCAATGGCATAATAATGATTGGGAGGTACTCATTTTACCGAAGGTTCGTTTTCCCAAAGTTACATCATTCCGAAGGTTCTTAATTTCGAAACAAAAATGCCCATAGCATGGAGTTCACAATTCCGAAAATGAAAATAGGGCTCATAATTCCGAATATTTGCTCTGTTATTTCAAAGGTTTGGTTATCCGAAGGTCCATAATTCTGAAAGTGAAATAGGTATCGTTATTCTGAAGGCTGGGAATTCAGAAAAATAATACAGGGTTCCATCTCATTCTCGGAGATATAGACCGTCGGAATAAGGAACCCGATTTCATTTCCGGAATTAGGAACCCTATTTCATTTTCAGAAGTTAAGAACGTTTTGGAAATACGGGCCTTCGGAATCATGGCCCAGCGGAAGAACCTTGAAATTCATGAACATTCGTAAAGACGACATATTATGTATACAAAATGATTAAACACTTTTTGCATAATGTACATAAAGTGAGAAAGATGTAAAAAATAATGTAAGGAGAGAAATATAATTTGGTAGCAGTAATATTAGGGATCACATCCTTTGGGGTTAATCCTCTTAAACACAGGTTTAGTTGAATACACTCCGAAGAAGTGGTTGGATAGCTATTATAGAGAGAGATTTTATTAGCTTGCCAATGGATTTTATACTATTTTGAGCGTGGGTTTCCCCGTCAGACGAAGTGATCTCGGATAAGTACGGCTCCTAAGAAGTGGATCTATTCTCTAGACAGTATATAAAGAGGAAGAGAGTAAAAAAAGAAAGAAGAAACGATGTCCCGAAATGAGTGTGAGGGTGGGGGTAATAAACAGAGACAGAAACAAATAAACATAATTATGAAAACATCATAACTAGGCGGAAATTTAAATAAGCGGCACCATCTGGCAACTTGGAAAGCGAAAATTGAGGAGCTTTTTGTTGTAGATGAGACAGTTGAAACACTGAGACAATGAGAAAGGGGAATAGTATAACCAGGTGCAATACAATAGATTGATGAATTGCTGACCCCCTCACCCTCCCTACCGTAAAGGTGCCCACTTTTCACTTACATAAAAGGGTAGCCACGATATCGTAAAGACCACTGAAATAACACAGACCGTATAGGCTAGACGAATCTCCCTGCCAATTCTAGCTTTCGACTTTTCGGGGTCCACTTTCGGCAAGATGTCCTTGTCTTTAGTATAAACAAAGGAACTATCATCGAGGTTTTGGTTGGTCCCACCTTCCTTGGGATTCACAACTGTCACCTGAGTCTCCAAGTCTGTTGTCGAATGAGGTGGCCTACTCGATGTCAACGATCCTGCATGAATATAGCGAGCTAACTGTTCTAATCCTGCCGTCTTTCTACCAAGGTCTCGAAGCGTCAACATGACTAGCGTGTTGCAAATGTAGATGGTTGACAACATGCATGCGCCGACTGTAATGTAAATTCCCATGAAAATCTTATTTCCGAGGTCGCTACGGGACCCTAGTTCGCCAGGAGGCGTGCAGACAACAACTGTCGCGTTGGCCGACGTCGTCCTCGTGTCCGCCGCGTAATCCCCGACTCCGAGTAAAGGAAGAACACTGAGCGACACGGAGAGACCGATCACAATGACCACTATAACTTTCGCTTTGAAGACAGTCGCATGATCGTGGTAAAAAAATGGTGCACGAAAGGCGAGGCATCTTTCCAAACACATGACCGCGTTGATGAACCCTGATGCATAGGCAACGCTTAAGCGAATTGTGTAATCCATATTGCACTTGAGCGCCGTGCCGGGGAACAGCACGCTAACGGTTCCTGATTCGACAAGGAGTAGGATCACGCTGCATAGATCCACGGTGACGAGTGCCTTAACTAGCAACGACGGTACGGACAGTCTTAAGGAATGACCAGTCGTGCGGTACGTCCTACAGATGACGATAAGAGCCAGTGTGTTAGCAATGATGCCGACGATGAGAATTATAACGTTTGGCACAATTAACAGCAATACGTCCTCCTCTCTAAACATATCTGGTCCTTGATTAGCCTGATGTTTTACTCGTGAATAATTTCCTTTAAAACTGTTCGGGATGCAATTACAACGGAAATACCCAGTTATGCAGAACATTGCTCATTTAGGTTTTGAATTCGCCAAGTCCGTTAGGTTTGCAACTGAAGGCGTTGTCGAAAATCAAGGCATTCTGGAAAATGTTGAAAATGCACTTACACATCCACCATCATCGGGTGTTGAGTTTATTTTAATATTATGTCATTTGCACGTTATCTTATTTACCCACTAAGCGAAGGTTAAACTCAATATATATATATTTTTCGATATGATCTTATTTCATATCTTTCGTATGTGGAGATCGTGTCAATTGAAGGACAAAACATCACAGCAAAAAAAAAATGTGTTCTAAAACCAACTGCAAACGGGAAACATCTCAATCCGTTTCAGAATGTAGCGATTTCCTGACGATATAAGCATTGCTTGTACCAAGAATTAACTCGAACTACACTCATGAACCATAAATGAGAGAGAACGTGCGATACTACGTACCATGAACAATGCAAGAAATACAATAATCATATCGTTCGGATAATGTCTGAAAAGAGTACGTAGCTGTAATAGCAATATTCCTTTCACGGAGAGCGCATATCACATCATCATCGCTAAATCATGCCGATTAGCATCAGAAAGTCATGTTGCCAACACATCCTTAATCAACCACATCCGTTTAAATAATACAAACTCTGTTAATCTGGCAGAAATCACAACAGATAGCCGGCAGCTCAATGGTGAATATTGCTATTTGACATCTAGTCAATTATTTCTGCCAAGAAGCACGATGGCTCGATCAGTGTTATAAGGCCGGGATGTCTCTGGTTCGAAATCATAGCGATGCACTAGCGTCCTCTGGTAAGATATTAATCCTCATTATCAAGTCCCTCGGAGAGGACACAAATTCGTCAGTCCCCTGATTGCTTACTTACGAGCATATCGTGCTCAGGTCGAACCATCCAGTCACGTTCTACCGAGGGGACTCCAAAGAGACCCCAAAGCTACTCTAAATAAAGTTTGATACTCGGCCATTAATACTAATAGTAATTGTACTTTCGATTCTGTTGTCAATCTGGTGTTGATATCGACGGTGTGACTGCCATATAATTCCTACGTTAAACTCCTGCCGTTGATAATATGACTTCCGAATCACGTCCTAGAACCTAAAGCGGGTGCATTTCATATTTCCAAAAAGAATTGTGCTGGTATCAACGTCAAAGTGTAATATGATCCAATTATTGTATACACAAGGAGCCAAATATGAACTTCACCATAATGGGAGCGGCAAATTCAATCTACAGTGATTTCTTGTAGCCATTTATATTCCGGGAGGGCAGTCGTTTTTTCCCCGAAGGTTCGTTTTGGGCTCGAAAATGTCGTTATTTCGAAGATTCATTGATCTGAAGGTTCATGTCCTGGACGTAGCATTTAAGTTGCACAGCGTGGTCGGACTCTTACCCTCTCTAAAGATAATCACTTTGAAAAGCTGAGAAAAGTCTTTGGAGAAGGTAACTCATAGAACATCCTGATACGAGAGAAGATGGCCATCAATCTTCTGGATTGTCATCTTTGCTCACTTTTCTGTCTCGGATATAATAATGTTCACATATTTGTCGTTTACAAATGTGGTCCCATCTAGACGTATATACAATCGTCGTGATATACTCTTCTTGACCAACCCATATGGTATGTTCGCTGTACAAGTCATCTATTCAATGATCTGTGATTGGGATTAGTTTCTTGCTTGACCAAAGGGATTATACGTAACCAAGTACCAAGTGCGGGGATTAAGCCATCGGGGACAATGACCTCTTTGTTCTCGTACTTGCTCTAGAAGTTCGATCTTTTGTTGAAGTACTGTGTACTATGTTGCGAGTTGTGACGTCTACTTAGATAATTTTATTAGGGACTTTCAGATTCGCACGAAGACAATGGGGATTGCTACGATCGACGTCCTTTTAATGCACTGCCTTGAATGGACGTCATACGTATCAGTCCACGCAAATCTAAAAGTCCCTATTATCTCTAGTGGAGGCCTTGAAACAATGTTAATAACAACATTTCCTGAGATGCGCTCTCACTGCTGAAATGACAATATTGGTATCTCAAGCGGTAGAAATAGAAAATAAACTGTGTGAGCAGAAAATGATATTTGACGAAAGATCAAACTACCACCGCTAAATCATCCATCAACTGATAGATGAAAAGATGTAGGCCTAGCTACAATATCTCATAATAGTAATTAGCATGAGAAGCACATCGGTCCCTGCAGATATTGACTCAATGCTGAGAAATATTCACCTGTCGGCTCTTCCGAATGCAGTCATAAAACATATGGGTGGGGCATGCATGCATCAATGATGTCAAACACGCAATCGTGAACATACGAGTCCATACGAATTCTTTGCCTATGACATTGCCAGTAGCTCTACAAAATCGAAGGCAACGGATTGGTATTGAGATAAAAAGTTTAGTTTTCAAACATTTCTATCATCAATGCAAACGAACTTTCACAATATTAGTTCAACATTTTAAACACGACCAATGCACCGATATGCATAATGAAGTCGCTTCAGTCGTGACAGTGTCGCTTTTTCACCACATTATGCATTGAACATTGCAGGAAACAATATTCTGTAAAAGAAAAAAATATCCAGACAAAGACGTTATCTAATCGTATCCATTTGTATTATTAACTCTATTTCGGACTGTTATCGCGACGATTCTGGTTGTAAAATCGTGATCCGAACTCATGAACCGTGATGCGGACATAGAAGTTTTTCTCCCAGTACTATATACAGACACATAAACACTGCATGATTGTATGATCCAAGCACACCTTACATTCAATGTAATGAAGGAAGTATAGTAAATAAAAGGGTGGAGAAATTCGAACCTATAAAATAATATTGAACAGCTATAAATATCTCTCTGATTTGAACGTTTG